CCCCCCCCCGTTGACGGCACTGCCTGTATCTTGGGGCGGGAATGCCTTCAAAGCGGCCATTTTGGAAATGATGCTGCTGCTGTGTCGCCAGCAAGCCTTGATCAGCTGCCCACTGGTGAGCCAAGAGAAAGACCACGGAAGAGAGGCCGCGTGGGCTCTGGGCACGCAGCCCCTCACCATCTCTTTTCCGCTAGCTTCTCTTCCCTTTGTAGGATGTGGCTGACAATAGTCTTCACTCCGGTATTTCACCACTGAAGGACTGTCTCTTTAAAGCAAGTCCATCAAGAATAGTTTTTACATTTAGGTGCAAGACCTCCTTTCTTAATCATAAATCTACTTGAAGTAATTTGCCTTGCCTTGTTTGTCACTGAAGGGTGGGGAAGCTGCACCCCAGGAGCCGACTGGAAGGGTTGCTAGTTTGGTTGGGGGGGGGGGGTGCCGCTCCAAATAAAGTTGCAGTGAAGGAATTTTGCAATAGAACTTAAATGAGTATTCAGTTGAAAATAAATCCAGTCAGTTTTGCAGAAGGTGAGTTCTTGTTGCACTTGGCCAGCCGGGCAAAGGAACCATAGAATGATTTAAAAAAAGAAAAATGTTCAGGATTGTAAGGGGTCCTGGCCCGAGAGAGAATTTGCCTTTGCGCAGGGGCTCCTTTTTGTTCATCATGGGGGCTCTGCAGAAACGGATGTTCCCCACTTGCTTTGCAAGTTGGAGAGCCGCCTTCACTTAATTCTTGGGGTTTAAAGTGCTCGAATTTACTACTATATCAGCAACCAGAAGGGGAGGGAAAGAGTAGAATAAAGAGAATGAACTTTGGTGGCTGTTTTAAAAGCACCATGTTTGAAAGGGTATACCAGTGAAAAAGTACTTGTGTGCACACAACACACTCTTAGTACTCATTGCTCAGAGATTCCAGAGGCACCAAGATACAAAGTTGTGGGACCCAGAATCCCTAAATAATGGGGAGTCTTTACTGCAAATTTGCTAGCTGATCTCTTTGCACAGTTTATATTCTGCCTTCAGCAAAAGCTAGTAAGTGTTTATATAGAGCCAAATTACTCTTGAGTTGTTCAGAACACACAAGAGGTATAGGTCTCTCTTCCTAACGGCTACTTTTCTTCAGCTGCCCCTGAAGGAGAGATTGTGAACTGTTTTAGAAGTTACATGTCTTTAGGTTCCCCTGAATTTTGTATTTTGCTTTATATACATATAATCTATTTTATGATTGCCATATATTTCTACACTTTTAAAATAAAGTTAATAATGCCATTTGTAACCATCAAAAATAAAGTTATCCTATGTTACTGTATCTGCCTCTGCTGGTGTTGATGTGAAGAGTTTTCCTAGTTGAGAAAAGTCTATTCACAGCTAACACACCATTAAATGTATCTACTTTTCCCCCAAACATTTTCATGGAGCATCAAATTAATTGAACAACCTGATAGCATCATGTTAAGGCACCAATCAATAACCAATGATGCCCATAACTGGAGATCATCAGCACACTAAGGATTTGCGGGGAGTGGCACGCATGCTAGGAAACATTCACTCGCCTGTAAGTACAGAAGCGAACAGAGTGCCACAGTCACAGAGCTGGAAGGGGCCACAGAGGCCATCTAGCCCAACCCCCTGCCCAGTGCAGGATCAGCCTAGAGAGCACCCCTGACGAGAAGTGCCTCTCCAGCCGCTGCTTGAAGACCGCCAGGGAGGAGGGGGAGCGCACCACCACCTCCTCGGGCAGCTGATTCCACCGTTGCACAACTCTGACTGTAAAAAAAGTGTTTCCTAATATCCAGCCGGTACACCCCCCCCGCCCCGCCCTTAATTTTAAACCCATGATTGCGAGTCCTCTCCTCTGCTGCCAACGGGAACAGCCCTTCAAATACTTCAGCCTCCTCTTCTCCAGGCTAAACATTCCCAATAAGTCCCTCGGCCTTTCCTAGAACATAAGAACATAAGAGAAGCCAATGTTGGATCAGGCCAAAGGCCCCTCCAGTCCAACACTCTTCTGCCACACAGTGGGGGCCAGAAATACCAGGGGCCCCATCAGGAGGTCCACCAGTGGGGCCTCACAGGGCTTGATCCCCAGGCCCCTGATCTTCCTCGTCGCTCCATTCTGCCCACATCCTTTTTGAAGGGAAGCCTCCAGAACTGCCTACAATACTCCTGGCATGGCCTGACCAATGCAGTGTACAGTGGGACTGTGACATCTTGCGATTTGGATGTTATGCCTCTGTAGGTCCTTGTTAAATTGCATCTTGTTCACATCCACCCGATTCCCCAGCGTGTTCAGATCTCGTTGAATTCTACCTGTATCTTCTGGTGTGTTCGCTGCTCCTCCCAATTTGATGTTAACCTCATCAGGGCATATAAACCACGGATTCCAACGTCTCCACACTAATGTGCAGAGAGTGCAGGGGACAAGCAGGAGGAACTTGCAGGAACTCATGCAGGAAGGGGACTGTGACCTAATAATAGGCATTACGGAAACTTGGTGGGATGGGACTCACAACTGGAATATTATTATTATTATTATTATTATTATTATTATTATTATTATTATTATTATTATACTATTATATTTATTATAATATTAGGATTGAGGGGGAGGCATAGCATGATATGTAAAGGAGGTATCTACTCGCGAGGACATACGTGAATCTGAGCATGGAAGTCCAGTTGAGAGTCTCTGGGCGAAAATAAAAGGAGTAAGACATAATAGTGCTATTACGGTGGGGGTCTGCCATAAACCACCGAGCCAGGCAGAGGACTTGGATGAGACGCTCCCAGAACAGACTGCAATGTTCTCAGAGAGACGGGACACAGTGGTCATGGGAGATTTCAATTACCCCGATATCTGTTGGAAGTCCAACTCTGCTAAAAACGAAAGGTCCAATAGATTCCTGACTCGACTGGCTGACAAACTCCATTTCCCAGAAAGTGGGGAGGGAAAGAAGGGGGCCTGCTATCTTGGACCCGATTCTCACCCACAGGGAAGAACTGGTTGACGAGGTGGAAGGAGTGGGGCACCCTGGGTCGCAGTGACCATGGAAGCTTGGGATTTACAGTGTTGGGGAAGGGAAAAGCTGTACGTAGTCAGGCAGATGGGTTGGACTGCAGGAAAGCAAATTTTTACAAACTTAAAAGTTATGCTGGGAAGAATCCCATGGTCAGAAATACATAAGGAGAAAGGAGTTCAAGAAGGGTGGGAGTTTCTTAAAAGCGAAATACCGAAGGCACAATCACAAGCAATTCTTGTGAGAAGGAAAGATGGGAGGAGCCTAAAGAAGCCAAGGTGGCTCCATAAACAGCTTTCTAAAGACTTGAGACATAAAAAAGACTCATTCAGAAAGTGGAAGGAGGGCCTGATAACCAAGGATGAATATAAGCAAATAACCAGGGCTTGTAGTATGAGCCTAGGCTAGCGAGAGATGCTAAAAAAAAGCAAAAAAAAGGTTCTTTTCTTATATTCAAAGTCACAAGAAGAGCAAGAACATGGTAGGCCCACTGTGGGGACAGGAAAGTGAAAATGCAACAGGTGATGAAGAGAAGGCAGAAGTGCTCAGTTCCTACTTTCCCTCAGTCTTCTCTTGCAAGAGAAACGGTGCTCCACATGGCACAAACAGAACACGGGATGAGGGCAGGGAGTTGCAGCCTAGGATCGGCATAGGGGTAGTACATAAACACCTAGTCTCTTTAAGTGAAACTAAGTCCTCAGGGCTAGATGAACTGATCCAAGGGTACTAAAAGAACTCGTGGATGTAACTTCTGAGCCCTTATTTTTGAGAATTCTTGGAGAACAGGTGAGGTGCCAGAAGACTGGAGGCAGGCAAATGTTGTTCCCATCTTCAAGAAGGGGAAAAGGAGGATCCAGTAACTACCAACCTGTCAGTTTGATGTCTATACCTGGAAGAGTTTTGGAACAAATCATCAGCCAGTTCTTGAGCATTTAGAAAGGCTGGCTGTGATCACTAAGAGCCAGAATGGGTTTCTCAAAAACAAGTCGTGTCAGACTAACCTTATCTCTTTTTTCAAGAAAGTTACTACCTCGCTGGATCAGGGGAATGCTGCAGACATAGTTTATCTTGATTTCAGTAAAGCTTTTGATAAGGTTCCACAAAATATTCTTGTTGACAAGTTGGTAAAAATGTGCTTTGGATCCTATTACAGTTAGGTGGATCTGTAACTGGCTGACAGATCACACCCAAAGAGTGCTTGTGAATGGTTCCTCACCCTCTTGGAGAGGAGTGACAAGTGGAGTGCCTCAGAGATCTGTCTTGGGACCTGTTTTGTTCAACATCTTTATAAATGATTTGGGTGAACAGAGAGAATGCTTATTAAATTTGCAGATCTTATATTGGGATGGGCAGCAAACACAGTAGAAGACAGAGTCAGGATACAGGATGATCTTGACAGGCTGGAAAACTGGGCTAAAACAAATAAAATGAATTTCAACGGAGATAAATGTAACGTTCTGTATTTAGGTAAAAAAAATCAAATGCATAATTATAAGATGGGGGAGACTAGTCCTGGGCAGTAGTATGTACAAAAAGGATCTAGAGATCTTAGAAGACCAGACACAGAACATGAGTCAGCAGTGTGATGCGGTAGCTAAGAAGGAAAATGTGTTTTGAGGCTGTATTAGCAGTAGTGTCCAGATCATACGAAGTTAGACCTCACCTAGAGTATTGTGTTCACTTTTGAGCACAATTGAACAAGGATATAGACAAGCTGGAACGTGTCAAGAGGAGGGCAACGAAGATGGTGAGGGGTCTGGAGACCAAGTCCTATGAGGGAAGGTTGAAGGAGCTGGGTATGTTTAGCCTGGAGAGATGACTGAGGTGATGTTACCATCTTCAAGCACTTGTGGTGTGGTTGTTTTCTGTTGCCCCAGAAAGTTGGACCAGAACCAGCAGGTTAAAATTAAATCAGAATAGTTTTTAGTTAAGCATCAGGAAGAACTTCCTGACAGTTAGAGCAGTTCCTCAGCGGAACAGGCTTCCTCGGGAGGTGGTGGGCTCTCCTTCTTTGGAGATTTTCAAGCAGAGGCTAGATGGCCCCATCTGACAGCAATGCAGATTCTCTGAACTTAGATCAGGAGAGAGGGCAGGAAGGGTTGCCTCAGGGCTTAGTTCTCATGGCCCTTACGTGCCCAGGGAAATGCTGATCGCTACTTTGAGGTCAAGAAGCTATTTTTGTCCAGGCCGGTTTGGCTGGAGGACCTGAAGGTGATTTTTTGCTGCCTTCTAGGCATAGGACAGCAGTCCCCGGGTGCATGTGGAGGGGGAGGTATTTGTGAATTTCCTGCATTATGCAGGGGGGTTGGACTAGGTGGGCCCTGGAGGTCCCTTCCGACTGTATGATTCTATGATTCAACCCATCCTTGTGTGAGTGCAAACAATTGGGAACCATCCATTATCCTGGGCTGAGTACCTACCAGGGGTCATCCCCTGCTGATTTCAGGCACACATGTTCACATTTACTTTTCGAAGACACAGCAGAGCCCTCCTCCTTGGCGTGAACGAACAGCCAAGAGAACTCCTCCTCCTCCTCCTCCCAGTCTGCTCCTGCACAGAAAGCAGGGAGTTCTCAGCAGCACACGCTGAAGTGGGAAGTCCCACTTTTGCAAAACCCCCCCCCCCCACGGCACCCATCTTTGAAGGAGGATTCAGGAGGACTCTGGGCTCAAAAAAACCCACAACCCAGCAGGGCACCAAAGGCTTCCTCCTCGCCTGCCTCACTTAGGAACGGCATCTCTGCCACTCCACGGGAAGAGCTGGTCACAGAGCCGCTCCAGCTCAATCCCATCACAGCCAAAGGAACTTAGACTTTTGCCTGAAACCGTGTAAAATCCCGCCTGGCAGCAGTCCGATGCTTGGCAAACACACACCCCACTCCCCCCCCCAGGCGAGGACGCTTTGAGGTGGAACCCACCCGGCCCAGATCCCAAAGGTGGCTGTGCTGACTACCCTAGCCCCGGGGGGGGGGGAGGGGGGGACTGGATTTTTCAGGCAGAGACTGAAGAGAAAAGGCAAATGAAACTGTTTCAGTGGGTTTCAGGCTTTATTAAACTCCATCACATTTGGGGGAGACCCCTGAGATTTTAACAAGGAACAAGAGAAGAACATTTCATTTTTAAAAAACCCGAGATCTCAGGGCAGCGCCAAGAACTGGCCTGTTCCCTAGGTGGCCCCCGGGGCCACGGAGAGACAGATGCGGACCAAAGCCTCTGCCACATGACCCCTCTCCACAGACCTCCAAGGCCACGCGGTGGGCCACACTAAGGCGGCTTTCAAGGCTCCAAGGAAAGAGGGCTTCAAATCTGGACACCTCTGTCTCCGTGAACAAGGACTGAACACGAAAGGCACCGAGGGAGGGAGGGAGGGTCTTCCCAGAATCTTGTCGGTAACGGATGCAAATGACAAAAATAAAAGCTCGAGAAATGCTCCCTTGGGCAGACAAGGCTTTGGGGGGGGGGTTTACAGAACCGTCCCCTGGAAGCTGCAGCGAGACCACCACAAGCCCGTCGCTCAGCATATGCCCCAAAGCCATCTGGCCCGGCCACAGCCCCCCCTCCCACAGGAAGGGCCGATCCTTTCGGACTGGGAGGGGAACTCAGGATAAGGTTCCATAGGGCGGGAATCCCCAAGATGGACTTCCCCCTCAGTCCGCTCAGCAAAGCCAATGCCTCCAAATTGGGGTGTGTGTGTGTGTGTGTCGGACAAGTAACAGAAGAACAGAGTTGGAGTTATTTCCACTTCCTTCTGCTTTGTAAAAATCCCACGGCCATTCGGGTCCCAAACCTGCTTCAAATGGTGGACATTTCACCAGCGCACCAGCCCTTGTGTTAAAAGGGGGTTCCCTCTGCAGGCTTTGCCACGTGGACCTATCAAGGCCGCTGGAGCAGCAGCCGTAGCAGCGGCACAAGGAGAGCTGCTTAAGGACACTCGCACCAGGGCCCCTCCTCTGGCGACTGCTTCTGTCACTCACTGGGGGGGGGGATGACCGAAAGAGGCTTTTCCGCTCCACCCCTTCCCGGGGGGTGGGTGGGTGTGGGTGTCATGGCAGCAATCTATTCCTCTCTCTGCTCCAACGTCTGGGCAAGCACAGGTGAGAAAGGGGCCCTGAGCCAAAGGAAGATCAAACTCGCGGAGCCCTTGGGGGAGGCCTTGTCCCAATAAGAAAACATTCCTTCGTTGTGAGGCCCCCAAAGTACACAAGAGTTACTAACAGACACAAGGGAACGGACGAGACCATTCTGGGGGTGGGGGACCAAAGCAGGACATTCTACAGGAGTTTGGAGCACGAAAGACATTCCTTTAAAGAGGAACTTACAGTTCTGTGGAGCGGCACAACCAGCTTGTGAGTTTAAAGCTGACAATAGCAGAGAAGATGCCAACAGAAGGAAGGAAGGCAGGAGAGGGAACCAGCCGGTTTCAAGCCAGCTCCACCCTGCCGAGGAGGGCGGGACCGTGCCGGGCACATGTGTCCACAATGGCGCGCGAGAGAGGTGCTCCTGCCAAAGATCAACTTCGAGAGCAGGGTTCCCCACCCCCACGTTAGCACGCACACACATACTGCAAAGAGGACAGAGGGTTTTTTGGGGGCTTCAGGTCCCCACCCTTCATGTCCCCACTAAGAGCACCAGTAAGAAAAAGAGCTATCCAGGTCTCTAGAATGATGAACCAGTGAATGAATCACACACGGCGATTCTAACGGGGACCCGGATACAAGATGTTTGATACTGAAAGGGACAGGTTCGTACATTACGTAGAATACCATTCTGGAAAGACATGGCCTACACTGTGTTCACACAGTCAGGTTGACTCCAGATTAACGCAGTCATGGCTGACCTGACCTCTCTGGTCGAAGGTTCAGAATAAAAGAAAAGAAAGGAAGATGGAGGGAGGGAGGATGTAGCAGAAAGGGAGGGAGGATGTAGCAGAAAGGCAAATTAGAAACAATAATATAAACTTAGAAATAAATAAATCATGTATTTTATCAACATATGTACAAATACACAGTAGAAGGCAACTTTTATGCAAAGGAAATAGATATATATATATCTCAACACTGTACAGGTATTTACACCCTTCGGAAGAAGAGGTCGGACTCTTTTCACAGCTTCAGGCCAAAGGTTTTGAGTGCTTTTTCCTTAGTGTATTCGAGTGGTCTTTCCCCTCCAGGGAGAGGAAAGCAGGTGTGCTGCTCCGCCACGAACGAAGTCATCCCCACTTTTGATACTGGCGGAGAGCTTGCTCACGAAGGCCTGGCACAGCAGACCGAGGGAGGGGGGACTCCCGGCCCCCCCTCCACCCTGACAAAGACGAGAGGTTTGGGGGCGAGCGCAGATGAGGCCGAGCGTGCTGTGACTGATCCTGCTGCCTTGTGAATGCACAGAGTGAGAGAGACCCTCTGCCCCTTCGCCCGACCACAGGAGGAGACCCCAGGAGGGCACCCCCTGAAAGGGCAGAATCAAGGCAGCGCAGGGGCAGCTCAGACGCTGCCACACTTGAAACAGTTTCTTCCCCACAAAGATGCAGAGCTAGAGTTGGTGAGCAAATCCATTCTGCAATTTACCCTAGAAGGCCCCCCCCCCCCAATTAGTAAAGGAAGGGGTAAAATTATTTTTAAAAAGCAAGACAAAGTTGAAAACAGGATCCCTGGCTTAAGGGGGCACAGAGGTTAAGGCAACTGGAACCCCCCGCAGTCAGTCCACGCGGAATGTGCAGGAGGATGGCTGGGAGGTCCTGGTTTCTGGGCCAGCGCCATCTTACTCCCCCCGTGCAGCGAACCCGTTTGGTCTGGATTTCTCTCTCTCCTGGCAGGCGTGGCGACGAGAGGCAAAGGAGTCGAGTGCAAAGAGATGGAGACACGGTCACGGGCGACAACGCATCACAAGCGGGCTCCAACACAGGAACACACAAAGTGCACGGGCGGCAGAGGCGGGAGCAGAGGAGCCAGCCGGAAGGAACCCTGGGCCCGCCGGACCTGAGCCAGCATTCCTTGTCCTTTGGCCACAGCGAACGAAGCCCCCGCAGGGGAGGGCCCCTTCTTCTTCCCCGCTTGCTTCACGGCGGCCTGCTGGCTCCTGACGTGAAGTGGGGCGCACCAGAGGCCAGCCCACAAGACGCTCCCGAGACTCCCGCACTCGCATGCAGTTCTGCTGGCTCCCCGCTTTCCTTCGCACACATGAAAAGAGACGCCACACCCCCAAAAACAAAGCCTCAAGAAGACACAGCAGGTGGCACCACCAGCATCCCGGCAGCACGGCGGACAAAAATAAATATGCAGAAACATAAAAACCCAACCAGGCCCTCCTCGAGCTTCGTTTGGCCAGGAGGGCAGAGGCCACCAGGTGACCAAGGCACTGTCTCGTCCGCCTTCAGGCCCGTCTGTGCCGGCCGGGGCAGCCAAGGGGGAACGGAAGCCGGAACGCGAAGAGGGTCTCCCCCCGCTACGTGAGCAGCAAAGGCAGGCGGAGAGGGGCGCCGGGGGTTCACGCCGCATCATCCTCCAGACTGACCATCTGTCTCTGTGGCAGAAAAAGGTGGGGGGAAAGGGAAGCGTCACTCAGAGGGAGAGACCTGCCGCCACACGGGCCTTGTTCCCCCAATCACACGCTCCAGCAGCAGCAGCAGCAGCAGCACTCTCACAGAGGGGACCTCTTCCTGGGCCGCTCGCGGTGTCCCAAAAGGAGTGCAGAGAGGGCCCAGGAAACCCTCATTTCTGAAAAAGGAGCGTCAGCAGAAGGGAACACGGGCGAGGCGGCAGCCACCAAACCAACTCAGCATCTCCTCACAGAGGAAAGGAGGCGTGGGCGGCCCCCTGCTCAGCTCAGAGATCCAAACCAGGTCTGGCTCCAAGACAAAAGGACACACCCAACCAACGCTCACCTGGGAGCAGGTTTTTAATTTGCTCGTGGTGAAACTTACCGAGTGAACATCTCACCACCACCCCTTTTCTTGGGGGAGGGGGCAATTCGTTTTATGAGCAAGAACACTTATTGGGGGGGAAGGTAACACAGCAGTAGTACTTTAATCCTGACTACAAGTATCCTGACCTGCTGCTTCGCATTCCCTGTTTTTGTGGAAATGCTGCTTAAAATCCAAGGACTGACCATTCAGTGCATCCCAAACTCACACAGCGAGGGGCGTTCACAGGCCCTGTACACGTCTGGCATGAGGACTGCCCTGAAGGCACTCCCCCCCCCGCCCCACACCCCCGGGACACCGGGGAGGAACATAATCAGCCAGAATCCCCAAACGCAGCATCCCATCTCAGGCAAACCTATTCAGCATGGCGAAGGGGCGTGGGCGTGGGGGGTGAGGACCAACAGGAACCCCCAAAGCATCCCCATCGCTTTCCTTTTTTTTTGGGGGGGGGACGACTTCCAAACCACTTCAGTGGACACTCACTGTGGGCATCCCCCTCCTGCTCCGCTGAGGGCTCCCCCGCGACCCTCCCTAGCCTTCAGCCAGCCGCGGGAAGAGGGGAGACTTGGGGGGGGAGGGGATGTCCCGTTCAGCCCCTCTGGACCCACAGCCCCCCCCCCCTCCGGGACACTCACCGACGGGTACGTGTATCCTTCCTGGCTCCGACAAATGTGGACCTCGTCATCCTCAGTCGTTTTCTGATAAACCGGGTTGTCAAAATTGATGCTGTTGGTATTTTTAAGACGCCAATTTTTCCAAACCAGGAAGAGCCCAAAGGAGATTAAGCTAATGAGCACTGAGAAGAAATCCAGGAAGAGCGATTATTTAACCAACACGGAAGCAGGACGTGGAGTACACCACACAAGGCAGAAGCCACAACTTAGACCCACAGACCCCTAAAGTATACAAAGCCTGGGATTAATGAAACGCGCCCAAACCACTCAGGGCATCCCAGAGAGGCAATTTTTTTTTGGGGGCCGCGGCGGGGGGGGGGGGGGGGGAGAGGTATCCCCTGTGCTCAGCAAAGGGCACCCCACCCTCCCACGCCGAAGGCACGGGCGCGGAAGTGGCAACTTACCCAGTGGAAGGACAATAGGGAGCGCCGTTTGGCTGCCTTGTTTTTCACCATCGGTTTCTGCGGCGATGCCGTTTTGAGCTGGGGAAAGAGACCAAGCGCTTCAGATGAAAACAGGCCTCTCCCCTCCCCACCCCACCCCCTCAAAGAGACCTGGGATACACTCTGGTGGGGAGGAGGGAGAGGAGGCGGCAACAGAGGGCACTTGTCCCCGTTAACAGCTGCAGACCTGGACCCAAGGAAAGCTCACCCTCGCCCCCCCGTGCCCCCCCACCAGAAGCTGTTCCAGTGCCCGCCCACCATCAGATGGTGCCCGGCGGTGCCTCTCCAGGGTTTCACGCCAAAGGAGGTCTTTCCCCAGACCTGCTACCGGAGAACCGCTCACTGGAGGCAGCAGGGCCGAAACCTGCAACCTTCCACACACAAAGCACACCAGGCTCTCTCTGCCACTCTGCATCCCTGCACCACCACCCCTGGCCCCACGCATCCCACAGGGTGTCGTGTGCTACCCCCCACCCACCCCAGTACAGCAAGCCGGGCTTTGCCCACATAAATTATAAGCCCACAATTCAAATCCCTTCCAGCGACAGAAGGCTGCAACAACGGCCATCCACTAGCAAGACAACCCGCAGCCTTGGCTCTTGTAACATTTATATTCCGCCCCCACCCCCCCACCCCCAATAAATGGAGCGCCGCCGTGCGAAAAACCGGGTGGGTATCCCAGGCGGTGTCCCAACCAGACAGTGAGCCGGGCAGATCTGATAGGAACCACCAGCCCAGATTTCCAAGCGCGGAACTCACCGCTTCGGTACAGAAGTGTCTCATGGGAAAGACTGAACGGCCGGAGCCCAGAGCCCCTCTTACCTTCCTGGGACAGGGTGGCCACTGCTGGGGTGGTGCGCCCAGGACCACCCGTGGCATGTCCAGGACCGGCCGTGGCATGTTTGCTCGGCACAGTGGGGGCGGCAGGCAGGTGCCCAGGTCCGTGCCTGGCAGTAGCAGTGAGGCGTGGCACGACAGTCGTGGTCCTCGTGGTGGGTGGCACAGCGGTGAGGCTGACAGAACCTGGGCTGCCAGGGACCAGGTTACTATCTGTGTGGTGAGGGAAGACAAACCAATCAACGCCTCCTTTCCCCAAAAAGGGGGAAAGAGCGGGGGGGGAGGGGGAGGAGCCCTCCTAAGGCACGTCCTGTTACCTGTGGTGCAGCTCCGCATGTCGGGCGCCAGGTGCAGGCCATCGGGACAGGAGCAGGTGTACTTGGCAGAGTGGAGCGTGATTTGCGGGGCGGGAAGGCACAGGTACTGGCAGCCTCCGTTTGGGACGCCATTCTTCTCACACTGGTTGACACCTTCAAGTAAGACAGAGGGGGAAGCGGCGTGAAGAGGAGTAGGGTTTGGGACCTCACAGGCACCCCGGGGGGCCAGCGGCAAAATGCTCAGCAGGGAAGATGCGGTCTGGCCAAACACCTGAAACAAATACCTTTTGGCTGTCGCACGTTGTGATAGAGAGTCATCGCATCGGGTGAAAACAGATCCTCTGCCACTTTGACGATATCCGAGCCGGTGATGCGGTTGGCACTGAAAATGGCTTCGTTCATGACATCTGTCCAGAACACTTTATCCTGCAAAAGGACCCCAGGGGCCTTAGGATTCAGCTGAGAACACTGCTGGATGCGAGCGCATCCTTAATCACCAGCCCAATCAAGAAATCCCGTGATGAAAAAAGGCCGACACGTTTAGAATTAGGCCGGCACTGACGGACGGAGGCAGCCGGGGAGGGGGCCGCATTCAGAAGACAGCTACGCCGGACTCACTCGGCAGGCGGGACCAGAAGGGCCACGCCTCCTGCCGGCTCTGTGGGCGGGGCAGAGGGACCACAGCTGCCATGCGGGATCCCATCCTGGCTGATGGTGTGGGGGAAGGCCTAGCGGAGACAGAGGGGAGTGGGGGCCGCTAGTCCTAGAGCCGCAGAGCACGCAGGGTGTGGCCCGCTCCAGCTGGGCAGGAAGCGTCACCCGTCACAAGGATACCGTGTGTCCAGGCCACGGGCGAAGAACACAATTCTGCCACAACACTGAATCCCTTCTTTCAAAGGACTGTTGCGTGGGCGAACATGACAGGAATGTAAAGTATGCTACGGCCTTAGCAGTGCTACAAGTGCACGCTATCTAAGCCTGTGCCTGTAGAAGCCAGGGACTGCTCCCCCCCCGCCCCCCTCCAAGGCAGATCCAAAAACCCAGAGGGGGGGGGGCGCTCTCGCCCAGGCTACAGAGCTAACGCCCTCCTCTGGCAGATCGAGGGCATGCCGATGCCTTCTCCAGCTGCTCCCAACCTGAACTTTTCCTTCCGCCAGTTTAGTTTCAGGTTGGGAATGCTTTCTCGGGAGTGCGGCAAGGGGAAGGGCGAGGCGGGTGTCCAAAATGGTCCTGAGACTGAGCACAACACCGGTGCTAGGAGGAAACGGCCTTTTCCAAAATGAGCACACGACGATAACCACATTCGCCCTCCTTATGGCAAGACCAGAGGAAACCAAAGTAGAACCAAAAAACTGTGCAGGAGTTTGCGCTAATAAATTTGAAATATTAATCAAAAAGATTCCATACAAAAGAGTGTACAATATTTGCATAACGTATCAAATACAAGTGAAGACGGCGACCTCCGGATTGTTCTGCCGTTTCGACACAAGTCTTCTTCTGAACAAGGATGCATACACACGTGGGGTCTCTCGGTTTCATTTCAACTGATTCATCATCAACAATTTCATGGATCTCTCAGGATTGTCTAACACAGTGTAGAAACAGTTTCTAGAAAAGCCTTTCAATGGGCGAATGAAGTTGAATGTGCGGAAACAGCAGAACATCCTGCGCAGTTTTTTGGTTCTACTTCGGTCGGTTCAGGGACTGTGGCCATCGGCTTTAGACAAAGACCAGAGGAAAGCCAAGAGTGAGTCCCTCCAGAGCGGCCCCTCGCACACTCCCCATCGGGCACCTCTCCCGAACCTGCCTCACCTCGAAGACCGTGATGGCAAAGGGGTGGGCTAGCTTCTCCTCGCTCACCAGGATGGTCCTCCGGTTCCTCCCATTCACGTCGATGCTGGAGAGGGAGTGGAGCTTGGAGTCCACCCAGTAGAGGCGCTGGCTGGCCAGATCTAAGGCAGAAGAGGCAGGCATTGAGGTTCACCCTCTCCGTGCGCCCAGCAAGCAAGCAGCCAGCCAGCCAGCCAAACCCACGGCGGCGGCGACAGCAGCAGAAGAACCAGCAAAAAGGCCACGCTGGCTCTAGACACAGGGCCAGGCAGGCTCCCTTCCACTACTGGGAATGTCTACAGAAATTCTCAGAAAGGTCCTTGACCTCAGGTGTGAGCGGTTCCAGGCCAGGTTGGAAGCCAAGGTGTTGCCCAACGGCGCAGCGTCAACTTCCAAGAGCGCATGTCTGAAAGTGGCGTGCTGGAAGCACATGCTGTAACACACCAGCAGCTGCCCAAAGGGTGTTCCTGGCGCCTTTCCCGTAGGGGGAAGCTCTGCTCCCAAGGCCCCCCCCCCCCGCTCATTAAACGGGATGCGGCATTTTACAAGTCAACCTTCCACAGAAATCTCTGAACTCCTCTCTCATACATCCCTGCAAGCGACTGTTAAATCCGACACAGAAGGAGTTGGTGTTAGATAATCTGTCGGGCACACACAGGGCAGCGTGTCAAGGGGCCTCTCCATGCCACAGGCGCCCACCCCCAATAGGGGGAACTCTACACATTGTTTAGACACAGCGGCATCATGAGAGAATTAAGCAGGCCCCCCCGCCCCCCCAAAAAAAAGAAGAATGAAACTGGAGGACAGGAAGATGATTATGTGGCAAAAAAC